ACTCCTGTTATTTTTCCGTGACAAATTCGTTATTAGGAGGCACCTGAAGAGATTCAGAAAAAATCGAAACTGCAGCCTTGCCCAAGAACCTATTCATTTGGCAGATATCCTAATAAAAGGTAAGCTTTCAGGTCAGAAGATTTAAAGCGCAAGCGAATGGCAGGAGTCACACAAGCCTATCAACAACTTTTAACGATCGACTGCCTTTTGCTCTCCGGCTTACCCGGCGTGTCGCCGTGTGCATTGTAGAGTTATTCATTGGTCAAGTGACTCCTTTCATTGCTCTTATTAAACTGTCCTCCATTCAATGATCAAGACAGTAGATTTACCATGCAACACTCGCGATTAGTTAATTTGCTTTTACCTTGGAAAGTAGATTTAAAACACAATTGAGTATACAATAGTAACGTTGTGTAACGCAACGAGAAACACATGTACCGTTGGAGAGCGTTTGGTCAAAGCTGTTGAAGAAGGATCAAAGCGGCCATCCAAATCCTTGAAAGGCTCCAAACTACGACGTACATCAAATTTGACCTTCTTCTCTCGAGAACCGGTCTCAAATTACAGAGATTGCATTTGTCCTTGAGAACCATAGAATACGTCAAAAATACGTACAAAAAATACTTTCACACATTCAGAATATATCAAATTTCATTTACTTATTCCTTTTTTGGGCAGTGGTAATAGCACTTCGTATCATGCAATCTTAGTCTGAAATCATACTTGTGATTCAAAAGAATTTGTGCTGCGCACTCGTTTGATTGTGAAATTACGCGGATGATTTCAGACCAAATTGCAAGACACAAAGTTCATGATAATGTTTGTGAAGTACAGCTCACTAATTAATATTCACACCCCATAATATTCTAGAAAGGATATAACGTCGCAGAATTTACTTCTAAAATAACTGTCTATAGTTTAAAACTGACACTGCACAAAAAATTGTGCGCTGAACCACAGAAAAGCACCGATATGTATGCAAACTATTCTTTAAAATATATCAAAGATCTATTAAGTCAACTTGTCGCTTAGTGTTAATTACAAATTCAACTTGACTTTCATCCACAGGCCAAATTAAATATTTTTCATTAAAAGTTGTTATCAAATTCCTTTACGGGAAATTCTAACTTACTACAGGCTTCTCGTATTTTACAAAAGTGAGGTATTAGTTATATGGTATGATTTGGATACAAAATATTTTAGGATAAAAAGGAAAGAACTCACACTCATAATACAACAATACTAGCAGGCACTCAAACAAACAGATACTTAAGCAGCTTGAGAAAAGTAAGAAAACATAAAGGGAAGAAGGAAGTCAACTTACGAGTAATGTTCGCAGTTTAGATTTAGACAGGGCAAGTGTGCCAACATTTTGGACTTCTCTGATAATCAGAGAATTGAAAACTTTAGGTCCTTTGAAACATAACGCAAACTGTCTAATATTTTTTCTGAAAGGGGTATGTAAAAGAAATTGCATTGTCTGGTGTAATAGCAATGAATGCTACTCGAAAACGAAAATAACAATTTAAGAGCATTGGGAAGACGGCCTATCTTGAAAAAAATATAATCTTTTTAATTGTAATCGATATATATTATATATATTAATAATTTTCAACTGCTTAAATATAGCTTCAGTGTAAGCGGTAAAATTACTTCTCGATATAATTTATACCACCTTTTTCTGGAGTAGGGCAATACGTCACAATGCTTTCCGCGAAAGGGAAAAAGAAGGCTTGATTGTAGATTAACAGCAATCCTTACAAAATTGTTTTTTTTTCTTTCCTTTAGCCAAGTCAGAAGCTGGAAATAACCAAAATTTAACAAGATTCAATACCGATTCTCTTGGACTGATGGCTGCTTCAGAAGCTAGCAATAAAGGTTTTTATGTTCATAAATTCATAAAACGGTATCAGTTTTACTCAATATCCCTTTCAAGGCGTTACTTGTCATTAATAAATACGGCATTCGCAGTTATAATTATTGCAGCTCTTTTTCAGCCACAATTTTTGTTCAAATGATGTTTACTTGCTTTGCAGCCACCTCTTGTGATATACCATTTGAACAGGCCCCTGTCACTGAAGACCACATACGTTTAATATGTGGTGAAGTCGTCCAAGACTGGAGAGACCTGGGTACAATCTTAGGGCTTGACTCAGCATCGATGGATACTATTGATGCTAATCACAGCGATTGCCGTGAAGTGGCACGGAAAATGCTTCTAAAGTGGAAACAAAAAAAAGGAAAAGAAGCAACAGTGGGAATCCTTCTAATTGCTCTTGAAGAGATAGAAAGAAGAGATGTCGTCGAAAAACTGCTTGGTATGCAATCTCCTTTTGTAAAGGAAATCTCTCAATACCGGGTTTATCTAGATCTATTTACTTTCATAACGAAAAAACTGAACACCTATGTAGGAAAAGATCTTCGATCGAAAGTCTTCTGACGAGGCCACTCGAGTCGTGGCCTTGTCAAGGAGGTTTCATTTTAGACGTAGATCGCTCTGCGAAAAGGCTTTAATCATGCCTGCTGTGCCTTCCTTCTCAATGGCACTAGGTATGTGGTGCTGTGTCGTGAAGTCCTTGAACCACCCCCTAGCCCTTCGCGGTTTTCAAAATGACGGGGATTGGGACCGATTTTTTTCTTCTACAAATCCCATTCACATAGTTTACCCAGAATTATCAAATAGTTTAATATATCTTTTCTAGTTGAAATGCCAACTACAATATCTTTGAGAGAAAAGCTTAGGTTTTCACTCAGAAGGTTAGACCACCAATTGCAAAACCTCTTCCATAAGGCGCGCACATAGGAGCAGTCATAAAAGAGATGGTATAAGTCTTCTTTGTAAATTGTGCAAAAGGAACACTTCTCTGACTCAATTAACCTTTGTTTGAATAACTTGGTATTTTTAAACAGAATGTTATCTAATAATTTATACTGAAAAGACCGGATAGAAGTTTTACTAGCAACGTCATTGGATATTTAGCTTTGTTGGTAATCGGAAGTGCATAAAAATTTTGTGACTCAGCTGAGTAGGGGTCGAATTCTGTATTGTTATATTTAAAAATCATAAGGTTAAATTTCACCGGTGGGAAAGACGAAACCTTGTCCCTAGGCACAGTCAACCGCAGGGCAGACCGTGTCAAAAAGTTAGATTCAAACCCTTCATTCTTAAAGCATTCCAAAGAACGTACATTATCCAAATTAAATAATTGATCGTTGAACATAAACGATTCCACAATCTGCATTTTTTTTAAAATAGAAAATAGGTTTGTTATCGATTTTTATGTCTTTATTATTCCAAATTACTTAATGAGCGTAATTGATATCAGAAAATCATTTCTAAAACCGCCCACCAGATAAGTAACTGCCGATGAAAGCCGTTTAAATTTAAATTAAGATCCTTACATCATGATAATATTTTAAGATCAAATTCCCTCCATATCTTTTTTAAATAAAATGCAAAATGTGATTTCCATGGACCAACGCGCTCATCAAGAACTCGTGGAATCCAGGACAGCCTTAAGGCCTTTAATGGGTTTCTAGATTCGTAAGATTTAAGCCACCGTTTTGAAGCGAGTTAATAACGGAGAGTCTTGTCACTTTATCTTGTCCTTTGCACAAAAACTTATCTATCATCCTCTCCATCTGTTTAATAATTTCTTCTGGAGTTTCCAATATTGTAGAAACATATACCAGCTTTGGTTTACGAAACGTTTTTATGATGGTCACTTTGCCAAACAAGGATAAACCCCTCAAACCTCATAGGTGGATCGTCTTTTGGATTTCACTTAATCTTTCATGAAAGTTGTGTCTTATGATTTGCTCATGTTCACACGAGAAGTGAATTCCTAACATTTTTACTCCAGTTCACTGAGTTCTTACTTGCCCCTATCCACATCGCTTTAGTTTTTGAGATATTCATTTTCAAACCAGAGCATTTTTCAGAGTTGTTCAATATTTGGATGAAAATTTATAAAGAAGATATGTTCGCCAAAATTGCAGTTGCACCAAATAAATAGGGTTATAGAGGGTCTCCCTGCTTTACACCTCTTTCTAGCTCGAAGGGCTTGGAAAAAGATCCATTGCTTATGATACGGCTCGAGACATTCTTATAGAAAGTTTTAATCCATCTTATCAGGGTGGGACCAAAATTAAAAACCTCTAGTGAATGATAAATAAAATCCTATTCAATAGAGTCAAATGCTTTTTCAAAATCCATAAATAGTTGAATACCAGATAGCGTAGACGATTCAGTGTGATCGATAATGTCGAGAATTAGGCGAGCCACCTCTCCAATGAATCTACCCTCGATAAACCGGATTAATTGTGGCGGATTATTCTGTTGGCTATAAACTTAGAAGCAAGCTTGGAGTTAGCATTGACTGAAGAAATCGGTGTCCAATTTTCTAAATACATTCGATCTTTACCTTTTTTATTAATTAATGTGACAATTGCCTGTTTTTGTGAACTTGACATTTCTCCAGAGTCAAAAGAGTAGTTAAAAGTATTCATCATGAGCTCACCTACATAACTCCAAACAGTTTTTTAAAACTCAGCAGGCATACCGTCATTCCCAGGAGTCTTTCCTTTTTCAAAAGTATCCAGTGCTTTAACACTTTCTTCAATAGTTATAAGTCCTTCACAACTTAGTCCTCCTTCACAACTTAGTCTTCTATCTTCCTCAGATAATTTTTTTAATTCTTACATGACCAAGGAAGTGTTCCAAAATATCAGGCTGCACCGTATTATCTTTCCTACTATACAGTTTTTTATAGTATTTTAAAGACGAGTCTAGTATTTTTCCATAATTTGTAGTAATGACTCCACCTAGACAGAGCTTCCTCACAATAATTTAAGGTAATGTTAACGGCTTGAAGAGCCAGTAACCTTATTACCGTGTACATCTGCAGATCAGAGAGACACAATGGAGAAAGATCAGGCGAGCCAAAGACGTAGTGGAATGAAAGTACAACAACGGTATGACGGTAAGCATTCATACTGCGCCACTTATATGCTCTTTCAAAGCCGAGTCAACTGAAATTGGACGATTAGTGATATTTTAGAAACAACTTTTGTTTCTTACTTCATTTTATAAGATATGAAGCACGACATTCGTAAGGAAAGTATACCAAGTGTGTACACACTTATCAATCAGTTTAGAAAAGTTACTACCGTTAGGGACTGGGAATGTCAAACGTTCATCTTTCTTTATTTTTCCAAATTTTTTTTGTTTTAACCCTAACACTATAAAATAACATTCATTTAATATTAAACATGACATTTTTGATGGTAAATGAACGGGACAGTAGTTCGACTTTTAATTGATAATAGACCACCCTTCCTCACGATTTATACTTATATTTTATCGCCGGTCCTATCGAATATTTTCAATACTTCTATTACGTCTGGTGTCCACCCGTCAAAATTTAGATCTCCAAAATCACATCTATATTTAAAAGTGAACGGAGGAGACTGATGCATCTAATTACCGACTAATTTCTCTCTTGTCAAATTTTAATAGAATATTTTAAAAGCTACTGTATTACAGAATGCAGGACTTAATTGACGAAAATAAGTTAATACATTCCTCAGATCGTGCGATCCTTGATATTGTCGAAACTTTACAGAACAATATGGATAAGCATTATTTTTCGTTAGGCGTTTTCCTTGATCTAAAAAAAGGCTTTTGATTTTGTCAATCACAAAATACTGCATGAAAAACTTAATTTTGATGATTTTCGAGGGATCATCAACGAGTGGTTTCAGTCGTACTTAACAAATCGAACGCAAACAACTTAAATTGGATCGCACGTATCAACTAAACTAATTTCTCCCTGTCGTGTCCCTCAGGGTTCGATTTTAGGACCACTTCTCTTTTCACTTTATATAGTTAACATTTACCTCTGTTCCAATAAACTTCAATTTTTTTTATTTGCGGGTGACACTATTATTCTCTATATTTACAAGAACCTCAAGTCTTCAGAACAGACGGTCAATGCTGAACTGAACAATTTACATGACTAGCTAACTACAAATAAATTGACTTGAATACAAAAAAATCAAATCTTGTAATTTTTTCGCCCTGGACAAAAGAAAATCCGTTATCGTCCACAAATGAGTTTATAGGATAGTGAAAAAATTGAAGATTCAGCTTGGAATATAAGAGTTACATCAAGTATTTAAGTCTTGTGATCAAAGAAAATCTTTCTTGGAAAAACCGTTTGGACTATGTTATTACCAAAATAAGTATAAAAATAAGACCGTAAGAATGATTGCTAAACTGAGGCACTTTATTCCATCATCTGTACTCATAAATATTTATAAATCCTTAATTTTACCTTATTTAACTTATGAACTCGTTGCTTGGGGTAATGCGTCTGAATTATCTAAATAAAATTTTTGTTCTCCAAAAGCGAAGATTACATCTAATCTACTTTATTGATAGAAAAGACCATGCACTCCCCTTACTTGGAGATGCAAAAATTCTGCCTATTACCTTCTTATATTATGATAACAATTTCAAAATATTGTGCAGATCTCTATGTGCATTTGCTTACTTCGATCATAAAATATCTGAAATTTCTCAAGCATTCTAGAACTACATATAAATCTACATCACTTTGGATCGAATGTTGCCGGCGTTGAATTGCGTGACTTAAAGCATGGCCTTTTCTGCGTGCAGGTGTGAGCCAGTTGGTACACAACACTCTTTCGAGTTTCATAGCGTGGTGTGAGGTTCAGGTGTGTAGGTCTGGCTCAAAAGATTTCTGCACACCGCAAAAGGACAAGAAACACGGGTTCATATGTTTTCTCCCTTTTCTTTATCTGCATTTTTATTTTCCTTCTTGCATTATCATACATGCATGGTTTTTTTTATTTCCTCAGCGCGTTCCCTTAGATTTGGAAGTAGGAGGTGGAAAGTCAATATTGACCAGAACTAAAACCCTTCCCACTTCTAATTGCTTCAAAGAACCCTTGTTATTTATTACTTTATGTCTCATGCGAATGTGTTTTCATTTGCTATTCATTGCCATTAGAACATGAAAGTAAGTCCCGATAAGTTTTATGTTTCCTGAACCGCAAAACACGCGACACCATGAATTGAGAAATCCAAAGCAATTACACACGAGAAAATTTACTTTTAGCCCTTTAGCCACAGAAGGCAAATTCATGCAATGAAGCGTTCTAAGACCTTTGTAATTTAGGGACGTTACATGGACGAGTATCTAATGTGTCGAGGGGTCAAATGTTTGCACTAAATCTGTGACCCTAAAACAGATCACGTACTCGAACATGTAACGTCCGAAAGATGTCACGCATGTACAACCCCGTAGGCGCATCTGGTGACTTCAGTCGAAAAGAGAAAACTTATTTACTATTTGTTTACTTAAGCAAGGTTATTTACCCTAAAAGTTTTTACTTTCTCAGTTCGTGCGGTGACGCTCACGAGTTTGTTCCGTCAAAAACGATATGAAGTCACGTCCACCTCGACAGAAAAATTAGGCTGACCCTGTCATAATCGATGGTTTGATACCGTAATTATCAGTTAAGTTACATCACTACGCTTTGATCACAGCAATGAAAAATGTGCGTTTCCTCATGCTGGCTTCATTTATTACCACATTTGGAAAAATTTTGTAGTAACAACATTTGTTTCTTAATTCATTTTATAAAAGACCAAGACACTTTTTCTTGGAGTAGGACAATACGTTACGATGCGTTCCCCGAGAGAAAAGAAGGCTTGATTGTGGATTAACTGCAATACTTACAGGAGTGTTTTTATTTTCTTTCCTTCGGCTAATTTAGCGTAGTCAGAAACTGGAAGTAACCAAAATCTAATGTGATACAAAACCGATTCTTACTTATTTTGCAGCCACCTCTAGTGATAAACCATTTGAACAGGCTCCTGTCACTGAAATCCACATATGGTCAATACGTGTTGCAGTAGGCGCAGAATGGAGACACCTGGGTGCAGTCTTAGGGCTTGAATCAGCGTTAATGGATAATATTGACGCTGATCACAGCGCGTACCGTGAAAAGGCATGGAAAGTGCTTCAAAAGTGGAAACAAAAAGAAGGAAATGGAGCAACAGTGGGAATTCTTATAAACGCTCTTGAAGAGATAGGAAGGAGAGACGTCATCGAAAAACTGCGTGATATGTAATCTCCTCTTGTAATGAAAGTCTCTCAATACCAGGTTTATCTAGGTCTATTTACTTTCATAACGAAAAAACTGAACATCTATGTAGGAAAAGATCTTCGAACGAAAGTCTTCGTGGCCTTGTCAAGGAGGCTTCATTTTAGATGTAGATCGAGTCGCAAAAATTTTTTATTGTGCCTGCTGTGCCCTCCCTATAGGATGGCCGGAGGGGCTATGTGGTACTGTGTCGTATAAGTCCGTAAACTTCCCCCAAGCCGTCGCAGTTTCCAAAATGGTGGAGCATCATGAGACACTCATAACGTCTCTTGTGACTCGTCCTGGTTCAGCTTCGACACTAGCCATCATTGAACAAATCTGATCGGGTTTCTTCGGATTAATTTTTGGTTTTTTTGGATTTAGCTCGATGTTTGTTCAAGGTTTCATCTCTGCATCTCGACATCCTTATCGATTTGAACTTAAAAGATATGTCGTCAAACGTTCTCACATATGCGTTTTACTCTGAACACTTCAAACACATCCTTTTAGGAAGAATGTAAATTGAAAGGCAAAAAAAGGGAAAAGAAAAGAAAAGACAACAAAAAGACAACAAAAGGTTGATGCAGTTAGGTCTCGAACCTTAAGCTCATACTTTCGGACGAGAAAGGAGTTGGTACATCTATCGTGTTGAGGAAGAATAGCGTGCAAAAGTTGGTGAAGTTTTGTGTTAAAATTCATTTGACGCACATTTAATGCATGAACCTATTCAATTAATTTCCTTCCCTCGGCATTTCAATTTACTAGTGTACAAAATATGTTCTAGCCAAGTCCTCCTTTTGTCGCAACTTTGGCATGTGTCAAAAGACAAAATTGGCATCCAGCAAGAATTTTCATTGTAGGTGATTTTTGACTTATTTGAACGTGAAAATAAATGGAAATAATATATTAGCATAAGCCATTCAGTGAACATTGTAGTAAGCAGTTGATCATTTCTTATTCCTTTTGGCGGTCCCATCTTACAGGTAGAGTTTGGTCACCTTTTTCCTTATTATGATCGTGAATTTGACATGGTGACAGATGTTTTTGCGTAAACTGCGGTTTGCGGCTAGATATCAGTATATTTCCATTATGTTGCTAAAAGATGATTAATTACTAAGAAAATGACGCTACCTTAAAAAAAGGGGTTCCCGTGCAGGAATTTCCTGGAAACAACCCTCCTTTATACTTTTAACCATTTCATGCTCTCGTTTTTAGGCTAAATCCATGTCGAATTCCCGATCCGGAAAATACTTTTTAAATCTGAATTTAACACGTTCGACACCTCTTTTTCTTAGAGGTGACTTAAGGTGTAAACATGTAGTACTTTTCATCTTCCGCACTGAATTTGTAATCAGATAACTTACACGGCTAGCACGTAGCTCTTTTAGGGGCGGTACCCTGGGTACACCTTTTTTCTCTGAATTTTCAGTTTATTCTGCCGTTATGTAACAGTCTTCAAGGACTATTTCCTCTTAAGATATCTTTTCAAGTATGAATATAATTCTGTTGGTAAGTTTATTATAATTTTTATATTTTCAATCTTGTTTTTGTTTCGCTCGACCTTGACCGTAGGACTAAGAAATTTAAGTTAGAAAGACATTTTGTAAAGTGTAAACATCGCGAAGGTATCTACTTAGTATGTGAACTCCGCTCTGCGTAGTTTAGCGTGATTCACTAGTTAAGTGTAAAAACATGACGAAGGTTAGAGATTGACAGCTCAGTAAGCGTCACCTTTATAAGCGGCGACCCCACACTTTTCTTAGAGAGATCAGAGCTAGTCCCCGTTGTAATAACTTGAGTAGTTAGAGTGAATAAAGAAAAAGACAACAAAACAACGAGTGTTTTTACTTCTAACAATTGACAAGAGCATTTCATTAACACCCCTACATTTTACACAACGTTGTTTTTTTTTATTGCAATACTCTACAACTATACAATGGTAAGCACAGGCAGTGCCTTTTATATCAAGTTACAGCAGGAAAGGGTTATCTTAGGGTTGTGTCTGCGCACAGTTTTTAAGGTTGAAGCATTGTCGCGGAAACTTAGAGCCCTTAAACTGGAGTCAGATCTCCTCAAAATAATTAAGGAAAATTGAACTATATAACCACTGCGATTGCATATGCCACAATTTGAGTAATTGCTAGGGCAATGTAAACGGCTTGAAGAGCCAGCAACCTTACTACCGTGTACATATGCTAATATTTTGCCTCTTTGTAGGTTGAAACGAGAAATGTGAAGAAAAGGTTAAGCTGCGCTCGCGCACCGGTAATGTGTAGCATATTTAATTATGGCTCTATTGATAATGTTTTTTAAACAGATCGGTTTCTTGAGAGTAGAAAGGCTAGTATAAGTTCTTAACTAAAAACGTTTGTTATTTTCAAACGAATCTAACGGCACCTGGAAAAGATTAAAAATGTGCAGGAAAGCATGCCGCGGACCCTTTTGCTAACGGTTATGCCACCAACCTCCCTTCCTCTTCCTCCCGCACTCAACTAAAAAACTTGCGATGCTAACACTGAAAAGGGATATGTAACAACTATTCTCCAAAGTGTTGGCTAGTGATTGATATTTACTGAACTGCGAAGCGGCGAGGTAGAGATCCACATGTAGCCACCGACACTGAAGTGAGTGGTTTTCTTCAGTACATACGAAGTGAAATCACATACGACAAACGATGTTTTAACACATTTATTCTTACAACGATGCGCAAATTCCGTGCGAGTTGCTCGGAGGTGAATGGCAATGGACATTCGGAGTGTGAGGAGCCAATCAAAGTACGCCTTTAACGCTATTCACTGTCTTAATATAAATCATAATGATTTGATATATCAATAAATCGGTTGAGAAACCTCATTATCACCACTGTGAGATTGAGCATACAAAATGTGACCTGATGACTAGTTCTTGCCAAATATTTTGATATTTGTAAAATAGTATGTGTTTTTTTGTTCAATTCAGTCATTTGTTTTACAGTCTATCGTGATTTTCATTAGTAACATTCTTTTAGTTGTTTTAGGAGATTGTTTATAAACAGAAAGCCGAATGTCGTCGCGTTTTCCTGTGATAAAAAAGTAAGTGATATGAAAACAGAGAAATAAAGACCATAGGGTGGTTTAGCGATGTGTTATCCTTTACACGATAGAAAAAGACTATACTAGGTAAAATGATGAGCAATATTTCTTTATCTGTTTAGGAAACGTATTTAAGTAAAGTTGGTAAGAGGATGGAGCAGTACTTTGAATTTTAGAATCAGGAATAGACCACACTCCCTAACTGGTTACTGGCTAATACCCCCATACAATTTTTAGGAGAAAACGAAAAAAAAGTTTGTGAGGCACAAGTAGAAGATCAGTGATTAACAAGCTTTTCCGACTAGAATTTTCTCACCATCTCAAGTGGGAGAGAGAGTCGGCTTAATCGTTAGCTTACAGATCGTCCGATGGTGTGGGAAGCGTGAATGACATATTTGATCATAGGAGGGGCGCTATCAGGGGAACAGCAGAAATTAAAGATTCGTGGTGGTATATTAATCTGGGCTCATGTTATCAGCTTGTAATTACAAACTGCTCTTTGAGAGACGTTAAAAAGAACGGAGTGTCCACTTATAAACTGGCAACTAGAGGGATCCAATGACGGAAGGATGTGGGAGTATTTGAAACTGAAATGTATTAAAGTTCACATAGCAACCAGGTAAACAGTCAGACATGGTATGATGCTACTTTGGTTTAAAGATTTAGTAAATGTAACCGAGAAGTTACAATTCAGAGACCCAACGTTTCGACACTCCTGTCTAGTGCATTCAGGGCTGATCTAAACGCTGCAACAAGAGGTCCCTCTATACGATTACTAATAAGCTGCCTTTTTCTGACGAGGTGTGAATAGGCGTCAGGAAGTAAGCCGCCATCATCACGATTTAAAAGAGCGTGGGCGGAGTTAACATGCCAAGCTTCTAAACAAAGGCGCTGGTGGTAACGCCGAATTGTATAGTTAGTTGGGCATGTGTGCACTGATAAAGCTGAATTTTCTTTTTTGCCAAAGAAAACCGCTTTTTTGATGCTCTTTCAAACGTGTACCAAACTGACATTTGGTCTGTCCGATGAGTTTGTTGTCACAGTCATTGCAAGGAATAGAACAAATGGCGTCGGTTCGTTGCTCTTTCGTAACAGGATCCTTAGGTTTGGCAAAAATATGCCCCAAAGTCTGAAAAGGTTTTTTTTAACAACTATAACGTTGTAGCCATTCAAAATTATCTTGGTGGGTTCCGTAACCCTCTGAATGTAAGGAATAACAGCAACACCAGTCGCTGGTTCCCTTTCATCAGGCGTGCTATTAGTTGTAACTGGTTCATGGCAGTTACGGAGAAAAGTTTTCGTATAGCAATTCGCCTTTAGGACATTGGACACATATTTCTTCTCCTCAGCCTTCGAATCGAGTGAAGATGGCAGACAGTCAGCCCTCCTGAGTAAAGTTTTGGCTAAAGACTTTTTATGGCAAATAGGGTGGTGAGAGTCAAAAGCGAGGTATTTGTCGGTGTGGGTAGGCTTACGATAGGCACTTGTCTCTAAATTCCCCTGTACCCCTCTAGACACATTTAAATCAAGAAAGGGCAAATGTCTATCCTTTTCACGCTCAGGGGTGAATTGCGACACAATTACCCTTGTCAGCATATAATACGATCCTGTCCGGTCCTTCTGAAGAGCTTTGGAATGTTTTGGGAGGAGGTTTAGCACGCCTGAGTATGCTGCTTAATTCTGCTCTTACCAAGTGCCTACGGTCACCGTTGAGTTGAGAGATGCTCTCCTCGACAGCGGCGACAATTTCAGCAGTTGGTATTTTGCGAGGAGCATCTTCTCTAAACCACTCCGTTCCAGCGCGGATAACTCCTTGGAGTAAAGGTTCATGACCCATTTATCTTTCAGAGATGAGCCTGAATTAACAGGAGACCTCTTACCAGAGTAGTATCAAACCATATCTATTTGAAGCTGGTCATAAATTGAAGGACCAAAAGTGCAAGTGCGAAGATAAGAATTTCATTCAGGCCTATTGTCTTTTAGAGGGGAAATAAAACCTTTTCGCTTTTTTAGAATTTTCCAGAGGGGTGTCAATTCCTGCGGCAGATATGAAATATACCTATCTGGAACTGAGCTGTACGGAATACTTATAAAAGCAGAAAGCTAACAGCTACATGGAGGTTTCAACTTATAAAGTTTTCTTCAAGCAGCCGAGAGAAAATAGCAACTTCTCAGAAAGTAAGGTCTGTTTGCGACTTCCCATCAAAAGTGTCTTTGAGGGGCCACATGACGTTTTTTTTGTGCTCTCTTATATTTTCATCAGAGTGTGATTTCTCTTTCGTTTTGCCACACTTAGAATATTGCAGTCCGCTGTTTGGTTTTGAATGGATTACAGGTCAAAAATAATAAAGTTGAAAATTTTTATGATCATTTTTTGGAGGATATGGCGAAGCAGTATTTTATCAGCAGTTATTTCATGATTCGCAGCTTTTCTTTTGTTTTTCAATAACCTTTATTTAGCTTACAACCCTGTTGAATATTAACAAACCGAAAGTCCGGGGAGGGCTGGATAATGTAGCAGGGAAGAGCGGGGCTGAGGAATTGAATTTGATTGTAAATTAGGGATTTATTTATATAAATCCCTCGTTTCAGGGATTTATACAGATCATTCCGTTTCGCTCTACTGCCCATTCAGACGAAGTACGAACAGCCCACGATGTATTGTTTAACGATAGTGTCAATTCTTCCTGACTGCTTTTGGGCAATTCGATGGATCCGTCCGTCCATCCTTGATACTTTCCTCAGTCACTACTTGCTTTCAGTCACTACTTGCTTTAATTCAACCGCACACGAATTTCGTGGAGCAGGCTCACCACTAGCTATTAGGCCGTCTAAAATAGAATCTTTTTTTTAATCTTCTTTTTTCAAACCTTCAAAAAAAACGCCGTTTTTGAACTAAAAATTGCGCTTAATCGAGCGCTGATTTTATACTTTAGGAATTCTAGAAATAAAACAGCTTAAAATCCGCCTCATATTAGCCTAAAAATTGTAGTTTTTGAAAGTAAACATTTGTAAAACGATAAAAATAAAATCGATGCTCACCTTTAAATTTGTTCGTTGTCGTTTTCGTTTTTACTTTTCCCTTTACAAGTAGAGTTGCTTGCTTTCTTCATTCAATTTTTATTTTCATCCGCGGTGGTTGCGTAGACAGGCACATACAGGGGCACAAGGAGCTTGGTTTTTATGTTATCTTTCGAACATCATATACTTCGGCGATATGCTCGATTATGTTTCCAAGAGGATCTTCTCCATATTGCTTACGCCACAACCACTCCTGTAGGTAGCTACCGAAGAGATCTTTGGACATTCCTGTACGAGGCATACTTCGTTTGATTCCCCACCATGTATTTTCAATGCGCTGAGTATGAGCGCCTGTGTCTGGGTCTACGAAGTTCAGGCTGTGGTTCACTGTGAGATGATTGTAGCCCTCGTCCTGTAGGCAATCATAAGCTTTCCACATGTCGCTCATCACGCATGTTCCCGGCAATATTTGAGTGCGTATAATGGGTATGAGTGTATCTTTATCCCTGCGCTCTACCGGTACAAGGAAGCAGGCCTTGGTTTCACGGCAAATGCCACCAAAGACCCACTTCCCTTCGACGTAGCGACCGCGGTGATACTTCATCTTGCCAAACTTGGACTCATCAATCTCAACAGTAGTACCACGTCCACCTATTGGCCCCTTATGATGTTGCATAATTCTTTCGGCACAAACCTCACGGCAGTAGTGATACCAATCTACCACCGTTTCTGTGGA